TGTAGGGAGGGCGTTTCCTATCCCTTCTATCTTCGGTACTTGTTGCTGAAGGGGTTTCCAAGTGCACGTCTCTGCCTGGGCTGAGAGCAGGGAAAGCTCTGCCGTCGCCTGCAGCCCGCTGGCAGCTGCCGCCTTCCCTGCCGGCAGTTAAACCCCAGGTCTCGAGGCCTCTGCTGCAGTTTTCCTGGGCCAGGGAGGCATCTCCAGCAGTATCAATTAGATAGATAGATACACACATCTGAAGGTTTTCCAAATGCCCAAGCATTGGAAACAATGCTGCCAGGCTTTCGGGGACAGATTTTGTCCATGGAAATCTCTCACTGGTACCCCCCCTTCAGTTTCTCTTTTTTTTTCTTTGCACACAAGAACTTAGCTCATTCTGGGGGACTACAAAACACTTGGCTCGGTATCTGGACGAGGCATAATGGTCTACAATAGGGAGCCAAGGCAGAAGATCTAACTGATCCCTTCCACCTGCACACCCCAAAATCATTCTGGGCATGGAGGACAACGTCTGCCATACAACCCACCAAATTTTGGTTTTGGTCACAAAAATAATCAGTGTATTCAATTCCTGCAAAACATTTGCTTTGGAGCTGCTAGTCTGCCCTCCCCACACTTTGAGCAGTGCACTAAGTAAGTTCAGGTCACTGCAGTCCGGGAAAAATGGAAGATTTATAGAGTGAAGCAACAAAAATGACTTGAGGCTTTAAATAACCTTCATGCAAGGAATGAAAAAGGAATTTAAAAAGCAGATAAATCATCTGGTCTTTGCAGAGCCAAACAATTGGGCTAATTAACCCACGAGCATCCCTTGCCCGCGTCCTTTGCCCACCTCCCTCTTTTGCAACCTCCATGAAGGATTGGGGTGACAGCAACTGGGCAAACCGGCCGCTGCTGAGAAAAGCGACTGGTGACCACTTGGAAGGAGATGTGAAACTGCTCGTGCAAGGGGGAACTCCTCAACCCCCAAGAGGCTGTGGTGTCACAACCCCACCGGCAGCTCCCTACCGTGGCGGTCGACGTCAGCCGGCGCGAGACGATGGGGCACTGGTCAGTGGCGGTGACGATCAAGGTGTAGCGCCCGTGACTGATCTCGTAGTCCAGCTCCTTCACCGTGCGGATCTGGCCCTGCAAGGCGAGGGGAAAGCAGCTGGGAGTGAAGGGAGCAGGATGGGGACATGGCTGGGATGGGGCTGGCATCCTTACTGACCGTGGTGCTGTCGATGTGGAAGGTACCCAAGATGTTTCCTTCGGTGATGGTGTACGCAACTGTGCCGTTGGGTCCCTCATCCTGGTCCATGGCCTGCACGGTGACGAGGGTGGCGTTGAGCGTGGCGGGACCTTCGTCAAGGGTCACCTCGTACAGCTGCTGCCGGAAAGCCGGAGCGTTGTCGTTCTCATCCAGGACGGTGACATACACCGTGGTGGTGGCCTGTGGGACATGGGGACATCGCATTAAGCACTGTGGAAGGATCAGCTCCGCAACCCTTGGAACTGGCTGGGGAAGGCTGGACCTGTAGAGGTCAATGACCAATGTGGGCTGAACCCTGCCAAGAGACAGAAACAGGATGCAGGGCTCAAAATGAAATGAGCCGTGGCTGCAGACTCATCTCCAAGTAACGGTTGGGTACAGAGATAAACGTACAGAGATTAAATCACAGTCTTGCTCCCAAGCAAAGCATGTCTCTGTGGGACCTCTCTCCTTTTCACACAGTGTTTACCATCACTGCTAACACCAGGGAGCAGCCCATGGCAGATGAAAAGCCAGAGCTTGAACCCCGTCATGCCTCGCTGCCTTTGGAGGAGGCCCGTGTGAGTCCTCACCTTGACACTGGGGAACCACTTGGTTGTTATTAATGAGAGTGGCAATGTGGTAGGGTGGAAAGTGCCTGGAGATGACGCTGCCATGGCTCAAGGTAAGAACAAAATTGAGCATCTCAGATAACCGACCCCTCCTCTTGCAGGTCTCATCATCTACCTGCTAACCCCAATTTCACTGCTGGTCAGGCTCAGCCAGTCCTGACCCTCTTCCAGTTCTATCTGGTCCTGCACAGGCACCTGGATGTCCTTACTGACGGCTGTCTTCTGGGTGTGTCACCCCGAGGGCACACTTGGGGACGGGGAGGTGACAAGAGCGTGTCACCCTACCTAAGCGCTCAGCTCAGAGGTAGCGTCTTGGGATGGATAAGCCATTTTCTTGGAGTCTCTGGACTTTGTGCCTACACCTTCCCCCAGCGACAAATTTCCTCCTGCCAGACAAGGGCTACATTTCTTGCCAAGAGCTCCACAGACATGTTTGCTGTAGAAACCGCAAAGCCACACGGCAATGGGCTACTTTTCTATTTCACTGCACGCTCCAAATGCCGAGCAGGTTAGCAGCCAAGTTTCCCGTGCTTTGCGAAGCTCCACGTGTCTCCAGGCTCCGGGGAACACTGTTTTGAAACGAGGTGGCCCTCAGCTGCCGACGGAGATTTTGTTGATACCTTCTGAATGCGAAGCGAAGCTCCAGGAGTTATGTCAGTAAGCCCACGGTGCGCTTCTTTGCTCTTCAAGGGCAGAGTAAAGGCCTGTGTAAATGGGTTTTGCTCCCCTTTTTTGGGGGGAAAGCTCCGTTCCCTTCCCCCAGCGGGCACCGCTCTGAGTCACCCTGTCCTGTACCTGCCCCCCCGTTCATCCCAGGAGGGTTTCTGCCCACTTAATTCTCACAAACATGGGAAAAACAATAACTACAAGCAAAGTGCACCTTCATGAAGCTGGAGACTGGCCCCCAGGGACGGGGTCCCGCTGGGGAAGGGACGGGGAGCAGCACCAGCATGTCCCCCGGCATGACGAGCATCCTCCTCAGCTACCTCCCGTGCACCCCGAAACGGCAGGCAGGGGAACCAGCTTGCCCTAAGCTACGCTGCAAGGGAAAAAACCCAGCAGATGCACCCGCTGCTGCCCAAACGGGTGGGGAACGAAG